ACTGACGTAAAAATTTCAAGACTGTGATGGGATAGTATTGCTTCTGATAGAATAGAACAGAATTAAGAAAGCTTCCTGTATCATTTGCCTTTTTTGCAATCCGCGCTGCTCAGATGTGCACCAAAGCTCAAAAGAAACATTTTTTTCTCAAAATAACGTGGAGGTATGCAGTATTGATCAGTCTACAATGAATGGAAACTATGAATCTTGTGAGCAGAATTCTTCTTTTTTTTTCTTTCTAGAACGATCGACTAGCATAAGGAAATCAGAGAAGGTGACAATGTGCACATAAGAATCTAGTTTTGGTGGTCCTTCCCAGCTTGCAAACTATCACCAAATGGTCTAGCAGAGCAGAACATCTTGGGTGCCAAAATTACTATCTCTATTTACAGTACTTCTGCAAATGGTGTGGTGCAATCTATCATCTATTCATGGTTTATTCATAGTTACTAGTACTGCCTCATGTTCACAATTTAATGAAGAATATTGACTTCCAAAAGTTATCTAACATTCTTGCAATAAAAAATGCCACATCAAGTGCATATGATCACAAACCTCAAACCCTTATTTCACCTGTTGTTTGTCCAAATGGTCGTTGTCGTTTCAGATTTTTACCAAGCCATCAATTTGGACCATAAATTTTGCACGGATGGATCGGAGTTGAGCTGTTGCGGGTAATCAAATCTTGCAAAAGGTGCGACGTAGAATGTTATGACACGAACAGAGATATCACTTCAACGCGGAACAGATCCCTACTTCTAGGAAATCTAACCGCATTTAAGTCTATCTCTTGCAATTTTAGATCAGAAACCAATATTCGAGTCGGTCTTTCGCAGTAAATTTTTGAAACGTTGCCAATCAACACAATGTATAGTATACTACAAAAATGGCAACGCGGAATTATTCGGAAACAAAAGGCACTTTGACGTAGTGTGAAAACCTCATCTAGTATTGCTGTATAAACATAAATCACCCTGTGGATCACTGGTTTTTTAAGTAATGTGTTTTTAGAAAAAAATGACTCTTAGGGTTTGTCGTACTGGATCAAGCCTTGAACGATTCATTGTGTTTGTAGCTCATACGCTGCCCAGACTTACAAGTTTCGAGGTTTGAAACTTGAATTTAACCAGAAACTAATACCATACATGATACTCCCTCTTTCAACATATTTTCTTCTTTTCGGAATGTAATAATTTAGCCGTAGTGGGCTCAACCTTCACATAAGGCTCTAAGGCAGTCATCTAAAGTGAAAATAATTTGTGTTCCCCCTCTTGGAATCTTTGATCTGCTTGGTGTTGTTACTGAAAGTTAAGCGAAGAAGGCTACAACTTATTATAGAAGTTTGACCTGAATAGTGCATAAAATAATATTTTCATAATGCAAGCTCCATGCAAAATTTATTTTGCCATTTTATGGCCATAATAGGTGTGATTCTAGCAATGTGTACCAAAGTTAAATGTAATCAAATACTTTAAATGTGGAGAGGCCCATAATGTGGACTGACTTTTGAGAAAAAAATTTGTAGGTAAGCTAATACTGTTGTGTCAATTAGACTTCCAATCTTCTTACCAACAGTTTTTACAAGGTTGTTCTGTTGTTTAGTTTTTGGCCTCTGAGGAAGGCATTAGTGCCGAAACGTTAGGACGGATAAACCATATCAAACCTGTCTGGCAAAGAAAGCACTTAGATATACAACACAATGCCCAGGTTTTATGAACAGAGAACGTACAAGATATCACACGAAATTATTTTTTGTTGATGTGTTTATAGGGCTATAGAATGATCAAATAGATAAGTGAAAAGCAAACTTGGCTGCAAATTAATCGAGCTATGAGATCTAGAACTCGGTAACTATCAGTCATCCAATGCGATTTCCTATAAACCGACGACAATAATATAGGTGTTTCGATAAAAGGTAATTGCCAGGAATTACAGAAAATATGTATACTCCCACTAAGTCGTGGCTCCGCCGTATTATCCCCTAAATCCGTCTGTTTTTTCTTTAACTTGGCAACAGAGACTGACGCAAAATGAGACATTGAAAAGGAGAAGGGCCTGCACTCTCTGAAAGTTGCAGGAATCTTACCAGTACCTAGATGATTGGTGGAATCGTGCAGTTAACTAGATTCAGATCAATTGGATTCAACTACATTTGGACGTTGATGCGCAAACCGGCTTCCTTTCAGCGCGAACACCAACTACGTATGTTGTTACACCCTTAGAAAGTATCTAGCACGTGGCTCTTGCGCTAGTAAGTATGAAAGTGACGTAAGTTGATACACTGCTTGAAGGCAGGCCAAAAATGAAAAACGGTGGAAAACACGTCTTCTTGCGCCCCGAATCACGAGGCCGAGACCGAACACAGATCATGAGTGTCTTATTATTATGATAGCCTCGTAGATTTAACATGAAGGATGGCATTTATACATTTTAACAAAAACGTAATTATGTGAGAGATTTCGCACTATTGATAGATAGTTATTCAATGAATGTAAAACGTCAAAATATAAGAAATGTAGGTTGTTTTCTTGCCCCTGGATTAGGTCGAACAAAAATTTTGCAACTCAAGGATAAGACTACGTAACTTCCTCGAAAAATTTTTGTTTCAAATTAATTGGAGAGATGCTCTTTTTGGTATATAAGTTTCACACAGAGAAATCGAAAGAATTTCAATACCTCCCCGATTTTTGACAGATTTCTAATTTGCGTTATCGAATAATTACAACCTCAAAACTATTCTCTCATTAGCATTGAAGCTCTCAGAGTTCCATTGAGATTACAATAATTTGGGAAAGAAAAATGGGGAAATTCTAGAAAAGTAGGGGAAAACGGAGCTGCCCTATGTATTCCTCATATATGTCAAAAACGAGACTTTAACGAAGTTTCTAGAGTTTTCCAGAGAAATACGGAGAAAGTGCGACTTACGTTACGACCTCATACCTTCTTGATTCGCATGTTGCACCAGACAAAACTAAACGCTAATAATTCGTGAAAAAAATTACCAAACTCTACAGGAGTTTACCGAGATCCCCGTGACTTTTCCGTAATTTGATCCAAGGGAAAATTCTGAATTCAAAGGCACATCCGACTCAGCTCGCTGAGGCGCATCTTTTGATATATACATGTGACTATTTGAATACGGTAGGTGCGGTAGGCAGCTAGATTTTGCGACTTCGTTCAGGTTTTTGCTTAGGTAGGGCACTCAGTGTGCTTACCCACTGCAAGTTGAGTAACCTGCTAGGCCAAAAAACTTCAAAATCTAACCGCGTACCTCCAAACCGGCACTTCTGTATATCAGAATAGCGCTTCGCTTCAAATACATTGCTGATGAGCACCACAGCGTTGACAACAAGATTCACACTCATTTCTGTGACTACTAGACCGATGTCATCCATTGTTAACATAGGAACAAACAAGCCTTGCAGGTGCATGTGCACACGATACCTCGCTGCATGGATTACCTGCAGAGAGATCGTAAACAACACGGAAAAAGTATTGCATGAGGTTTGCAGCGAGGAAAAAATACAAAGTTTGATAGTGCTGCTTTTGCACGAAAACGATCACTATCTGGAGGAGGAAACTTAAGTATTTGATTCGGTAACTCTAGAGAAATGCCTAAATCCCAGAGTGACTTTTTTATAAACTTAAATTCAATAATTTCTGGTATAATCAAGGAGTCATGCACCAAATCTCTAAAAATAGTCCATCTTTATTAACAAAGTGACTAAAAGATGCAGAATCTGCATATCACCTCGCTTTCTCTGTCATCCACTTGATGTGAGAATCTTGTTGATCGTGTGCATTGCCGGTTCCCCGTACTTGGTTTTCGTGAGGATTCTCGAGATCGAGGCTTCAGTAGTAGAAGAATGCTAGCTCGAAAGAAAGGAAAAGTCGTCACTGTAGCTTCTGAGGTGGAACGCAGTTGCAGCTGTGACTCGTTCGCAGTGCAGGAGTGAAGAAAAGGAAAGAAAGAGTCGGAACAGTAATTTTCAATCACAGGACTACAGAAGCGCAAATCCACATACGAAATGAGTGGATCGTAAGTACGTCTGATCTGCTAAAAGCTGCGGTAAAAATAATTAGCCTTAACCCTGTTTTGGAAACAGGATAGCATTAGAAAACCTACGATATTTATTTAAAGATGGTGGCGCACGGTGCTCTATTTCAGATCTTTTAACTGGCTCCTATTCACATCTTTGAATATCTCGGTACTTTTTCTTCCTTACATAGTGCTATCACAAGGACTCAGCAGTTCGTTTTAAACTTTCTTTGGTGCTTATTTGCATTCAAACCTTCGTACCAATCATTTTGAACATAACATCAACATGGAACGTCGTGTTTGTCAACTTATAGATAGGCCACAAGATGAATTTAGTCAACAAAAAAATTCGAACGGTTCAATTTTTACGTCGGTAGCTTTCAATATCGCATCGTCGATGAGTACTAAAATATTTTATTCCACAAAAAAATAAATTCTTGGACTGGCTTACGCTGTACATGTTTCACAACTATATCGACACCAATGGCCCCAAACCCCAACAACATCCCCTGTTTTACAAACAACAAGACTAAGTGGCTGGGGGTCGTGTTGTTAACCATAATCATGGTGAAAGCGACGGCAACAAGGGAATATAGGGGGGGGGGGAGTGTCGCACGATGCCAAAACAATCAACATATACTGCATCACCTTCCCTCCCCGCCCACTACTATATAAGGCAGAAGTAGGCGACGCTTTCGACGTGTTTTCGCTCTCGCTCTGGCTCAGTTTTCCTCTTTTCTTTCCATTTCGGGTGGGAGTTCTCTCTAGATGTTCTTGCTCGTATTCCAGTCTGTCTAAGTAGGGTAGAGGTTAATTTATTTGGAGCCGAACCTCTGAGCTTGATGGCGTGGGTGTAGCCGTTCGAAGGAGGCTCAGAGTTTCGAGATTTGTATTCGAAGCATTTTCGCAATGACTATCTGCTCATCTGTTCCTATTTACCTCAGTTCAAACTTATTTTTTAGATTAACTGAAAACAAAACTCCCTTTGCTACAAAATGAACACCGAGAAGACCCACACAACCACCACGACCACAAGTCATCCCATCGGCACCACGACCACAGGTTATACCACCACAGGCCATAAGGACGAAAGTGTGCTGGAAAAGGTTGGTGACAAGGCCAAGGATATGGCTCATACTGCCAAGGAAAAGATGGCCAATGCTGCCGATGCCGTCAAGGAAACCGCTTATAACGCGAAGGAGAAGGTAATTTTTCAAGTTTTCCACTCCACATTTACGCAAAATTGCGAACTTTTACTATTAGGTAAAAGACATGGCCGGTAATACCAAAGAAACAGGCAAAGAGTACATGGACGCAACCAATAGAAAGTGCAATGAATGCGCGGATGATGCTACCCATAAGGTGAGTCGAATCTATACTTTCGGTAACTATATTATATTTCTGACTTCCATTGTTCAGATGCATCATGCCCAAAACCAAGCAGCTGAAAAACTGCACAGAGCCGGTGACAACCTTCAGGACCATTAAGAAGGTGATTACGACTCTCCGTATATACATGGACAATATGCGATTATAACGAATGTTCTTTCTTATAATATGTTTATTTGTGAAGTGATGTAAATAAACGTAGATTTATTGGATTTATGAAATAACTACATTCTAGAAAATCTTGGCTGAAAAGGAGGAAAAGTCTGGTAAAACCCAGAAACGCAGTGTTTGTCGAATTATTGATAAGTCACAGGGTATATCGGGTGTATGCCCTTCTGAACCGCTCCGTCCTAGCGCTAATACCCTGCTCCAGGGCGGCGGTAATCACTTTGCCTTTCTTATAATCTAACAAAGTTTTTGAATATTTCGGAGTATTTCAAAGCAAGCGAGTGCAATTTTCGGTCGATAATAGTGTCGATGTTTTATAAGAAGACAAAAATTGGGGAAGATTGAATTTTTTTTACTCTCTATTTCGTAATTTCTTCTTCGCAGTTCTTTAAACCACCGCGAAATTTGCACATGTAAGCTGAAAATCTGTGTAAATGTGATTCCTATGTTAGACCCCAAGCTCTTCTTTGATTCTTTTCTTTGAAAAAGTGCTTTTACCCTAACTCGTCCAATTTAACAGCGCCTGCATCTTAAACGACAGCGTAGCTCTTCTCACGGCAGCGCCGACCAATCAGAGGCGCGCAGTAATTAGGCTGCTAAGGCTAGCGGTACAGAAGGGCCGTGTTCCCGGTATATCTGGTAACAGACAAAAATTTGAAGAAGTTGGTTTGACGCTTCCCGTCAGTAGGAGCCTTCACCGCGCACTGTTGGCCCTTTATGCTATAGCGTATTTTGCGTGGACCAGTTGTCCGCGGAGGTGGCGACTAATGGAGTTCGTTCCCCTACACTTAACATTTTTCATATAGTCGGTAATTTGAAATCACCTCCTCATTGAATAGGTAGAAAAATCAAGTTCTCGGATTACGCTGTACATTCCACGACCACCCTTGTATATGTGGCCCCAAACAACCCCGGCAACATCCCCTGTTTTACAAACAACAAGACTAAATGGCTGGGGTAGTCGTTGTTTACCATAATCAAGGACGAAAGCGATGGCAACAAGGGAGTGAGGGGGGGGGGGAGGGTCGCACGATGCCAAAACAATCAACATACACTGCGTCGCCTCCCCTCTCCGCCCACTACTATATAAACCCCAGCAGTAGCAATGGCGACGACGTGTTTCCGCTTTCGCTCCGGCTCACTCCTCTATTCTTTCCAGCCGGTGGCAGGGATCCCGTAGATGTATCTCCCGTATCACATTTAATTTTAAGTAAGCTTGGGTCGCTCTAGTGGGTTTCGTGCCTTCAAGCTCATCGGCGGCAGTTCTTTTGGCTGCATTGGCCGCAAACGGATATCGATGCTAGAAAAAGTATTCTGTTCTTTCTCGACCTGGAAATTCCTCTACAATCGATCTACTCATTTTCTGATACACAGAGATCCCTTTGAAACAATTCAGATTTCTTTCCAGATTTATTAACAACAAAACTACCTCTGCTACAAAATGAACACCAACACCCACACAACCACGACGACCTCAGGTCATGCCATGGGCCCCACGACAGGTAATCCTCTGGGCACCACGACCACAGGTTATACAACCACCGGCCATAGCGACGAAAGTATGATGGATAAGGTTGGCAGCAAGGCCAAGGAATTGGCTCACACTGCCAAAGAAAAGGCGGAAAATGCTGCCGATGCCGTCAAGGACACTGCTTACAACATGAAGGAGAAGGTAATCTTTGGGTTTTCCACCCCACATTTCTGCGAAATTACGAACTTCTCCTATCTAGGCAAAGGACATGATGGGTGATGCTAAAGACACAACCAAATATCACATGGACACAGCCGATCAGAAGTGTCATGAATGCGCAAATGATGCTAGTCATAAGGTTAGTAATCGTTCCATATTTTTGCTAATTTTTATTATTTTTCTGAATACCAATTTGTTTAGATGCACCATGCCCAAAACGTCGCAGCTGAAAAACTGCACAGAGCCGGTGACAACCTTCAAGACCATTAAGAAGGTGGTTACGATTCTTCATATATGCATGGACAATATAATGCGAATATAACGAATGTTCTTTCTTGATAATATGTTATTTGTGGAGTCTGTAAATAAACTTTTAGATATATTGGAGTGTTTGTACCGGGTAAATTATTAAGGAAATCTGTTATGATATTCTGGGAATCCTTATTAGGAAATAGGTGAAAGTGTTCGGTGGAGCTTAGAAAAGGATTTTCGACTAGGTTTTGCAGGAATACTGTATTCCGAGTACCCGAAGAGACACGCTCATGTCTAGACTATTCTCAACTGGTAATCTGTAGTTACAAAAGAATAAAATCTTTCACCGTAATAGCGTAGATCATGCGCTTGACTACCTTTTGAGTCAGCTGAAAAACAAATTTGTTATTGTGTCGCTTACAGCTATGGAGTCGTAATCTATCACAGCGGTAGGTAAGAGAGGGGAATAGCGTTTTTCACCAGCTGCTTGACTTAGACTGAGTTTATCAAAAAGGAAAAACTATAAATTAAATCCAAAAAGTACAAAGAAACTGTCATGTCCAACCTACATTATTGACTGAAATCTACAGTTAAAAAAAGCGTCTTGTACAGGGTGTCCCAAAATAATGTTAACACTGTTTGATCGTTGATAACTTCGTTGCTTTCAAGTCTTTCGCCGAGCTTGAGGCACCATTCTGTAGAGCGGGGTTCAACTTGTTTTTGCACTATGGAGCGAATCACCGATCCATCATTATTGTAGGATTACGATATGAACTTCTAGCATGTGGATCCATTGTGAAATATGCCATTCGACAAAGTTTTTTTTTCAAAAAATCTGAAAAATCGTATACTAGGGTTTTCGCGCACGTGATTCCACTACACAACTCTTTGCAAGTGTTCTTAGCTTTTTTGACGGTGTAATCACATTTCTGACAAATGCTAGAAATTCGATTATTACGGTTTACCTGGGAAAACCTAGGAAAGAAGCATCATAGTAAAGTGGAAAATTCATATTCGAAATCAGCGGCTTCCATTACCACAGCATAAGCGCCGAGGCAGAATATGGATGATCAAGACGCATGTTCGCTTCAAAATAACTTTTCCAGCTACGAGGTTGCAAATGATGTCTTGTATAAGTGGAATAGCTTGGCGGAGCGTTTTGATGCTTCAACAAAACACCAAATATGAAAAAGATTAGAAGTGATCGAACGTTTCATTTTCATCTCCATTGGATTCTTATTTGAAATACCATTATAAGTACACAATTATAGATCAAGCGGAATGCTTCAACATTGTAAGACCAGCTCTTGAGTGTAATACATTCTTACCACAGAACACCTTTTTTAAGTCTTCTCGTCTCAACTTTCCTGACTATGGCTTTTGAGTAATGCAAGACCTACTTATCGGCAACATCACCACAGCAACGGCTGCGGTAAACAGCATCTTTGCAAAAACTTGTTTTGCTCTCATCTTCAGCGATTTAGAGCTCTTCCTAAAAATGAGTCAAAAATAGAGAAGAGAGTGTAATCAAGCGGAGAGGATGCACGATATATGCAGAGACAACAAAGTTGACCAAGCGACGTTTCGAAAAGCAAAAAATGTTCTTAATTTTTTGAGCACCTAGCTCAACCCGTACATGAAGTGCTTAGGAGCCGTATTAATATCTTGATGAACAATGAGCCGCCTAAAAAGGCAAATTCCAATTCCTTTCCATACCAGCTGAACGGCGAATTGCTATCCTGCCACGCCCTTAGCAGGGCTCGGCACGAGGTGGCTAGATGAAAATGCTAAAATCGAAGTTCTCCTTGACTTTCGCGAATTTTTACGAAGTACCCTTTCACCCTCATCCCTAAAAAATCTCCAAAAAACGAAACGTCGACTAAAAAAAACGTCGCGGATTTTTCCGTCTTTTCGGCCACAAAAACGAAACCTCCTTTTCTTTTTGTCCCAAAAACGATATCCAGCTCGCTTGTAAGCCACCTATGCCGAGCCCTGGCCCTTAGGGCGGAGGGATAGAAAAAAGATAGAAAAAAACAAATGAAAAAAGCTCGCTGTGCTTGGCGTTGGGTTACAAATTTCAAATAACTTGGGACGATGCAGCTTTTGCTTGCTTCAGGATAATCGAGCCTTGCATCATTCTCAGAAATCAAACATTTCATTTCGTAAACAGCAAGTATGCGATTTGTTTATCTCCTAAAAGTTGACATTTTTGTAAAGAGCAGAATTTGAAGAGCCAAGAATTGCTCTCGCTGCTTGACTGAAAGTTCATAATAATTGTTTTGGAATTTAGCGGAATAACTTGGTGATTGACGGACGGTTAATATGAACAATTATTGATTATAATATTTATAACTACTGGAAAGATCTCGCTAACAAACTTGAACTTTAGAGGAGATTTCGCAAACTTTCCAGCGAATTTCTATGGCTGTCTGAAAAGCGAACAAAATTGTGGGACATAATAGTAATCAAAGTGTCCCTAAAAACTGAAGCAGAGAACGCGCTGCAGTCAAGCTGCATCGCCCGCACTTCTTGGGGTTCGGACTACCAGGGGACATGTAGAAGCGTTGAATTGAAAAAGAGTCTTGAAACGGGATTATAACAGCACTCTCCTTATTTCATCAGTCATCTGCTAGAGCTATTAGGTTGATTAACGTAGTTCGTTTTGACATGCAAATTTGATGCTCTATGAGTTCAGGAAGCAGCTATTTAAACTTCGAGCCTTCGCTCAAATGTCAAGTAATCGAGGTTTTCCGTTACATTGAAATGACGATCAAACTCTTGTACGGTCAGACTTCCAAAAAATTGATTTGACTCCGCAAGTTTCGTTCGCAGCCTGTAGTGAGGTACAGACGTATAATATAGTGACTCAATGCACACAATTCTTGGCTAAGGGCGACCACGTTGGACCCTTGTTTGTGTATTTCTGCAGCTGAAAATGTAAGAATTTCTATGCATTTGCGCGTGGAAGTCAATTTTCGGGCAATCCAGATCGCTCAAATTTGGCCATTCATAGCCATGCAAATGTTTGAAAGTTTGAGAAAAAATCTGATTAATCTTTTTTCCTGCACTATTTCATTAACAGCAAAATAATTTTTGAGCAAACAGAATTAGCCCTCCGATTCTCCTTAGATTGCTCTTTGCAATGATACTGCATATTCACACAAAAAATCGATTATAACTTTTCTGCAAACCGTTAGAAACGGCAGAACTTATTTTTGTAGACTACACGACGAGGATGCGGTTGTTGAAACGAAAGAAAAAAAAACTGCCATCAAAGCTAGCCAAGCGGTGCCTGGTAATTAGCACCGACCACTCGATGATAAAATCTGGAAAAACTGTCTTTCAAGGATGACGTCAAACTCATAGTGGACCACCTGCAAATGATCAAGGAATGGTAAATCTCCGAATCATCTAAACACAGGGGGTTGTGTTCGCTGACCAGAGATCAAAAGGAGTAAACATCGGCGTAAACAACGCCTCCCCTCTACGCTACAAAAGGGCGCTAGTAAACGCACTGGCAATACGCATCCGCTTTTTCGCTCTCTTTCCAACACGTATTCATTGAGCTCTTATTCTCGATCCTCTTCTTGTTCTTCATTTTTTCACCGCTGATTCGGACGACACACAACTTACTACACTTTTCCAGATTCATAGAAAACACTGTCATAACTGGCAAATTAGCAAAGATGGAAGACGTAAGTTTCATTCTTCTCCAAAAGATTTTTTCAAAACACTATTTCAGGATTCAATCCTTGCCTCAATCGGAAACAAGGTTCAAGAACTGGTTGGAGGGAGCGCTGGTAAGGATCCCGCAGAGGGACAGGTGAGCAAATTTTGGCAGAGATGAGTACTCCAAGATAATAATATCTGAAGAGTTTTGCACTAACACTACTTTTTCTCCGAGAAGCTCTAAAAACTTTGACAAAGCCTCATGTCTGATAGATGTCAGGAAGGGACAAAGAGCTATCCATTTGCTATTCCTCTTTCCTTAGATTTTTGTGAATTTTCTGATATGAGGTGTACTCTAGTGACGCAAGATGAAATTTTGCCGTTCGAGAACCTTCTAAAGTTCAAAAACTGATTTATTATGTGTATCGAAAAGCTACCACTTTCCTGATCCGGTGATAGATTTCTTTCAGAAAAGTTATCAAAATCTATACTTTTAGGCTCAACCTTCATTCGAGAATGAGTACAGAACCAATGAGGTAAATAACTTATAAAATCCCCTAGTCAGCTCAAAATTACTTTTGTTTAGGGCCTCAACACTGGAAAAGAAGCTTGCGTTGCTGCCCAAAATAATCCTACTCCATTTGAGGGAAAATGTTGCCCTGATCACGATGTGAGATGATCTCTCTGCCGTAATTTGATTTTCCTAAAACTTAGTTGTTTCAGCGCGATGAAGCAAAAGACTATGGTAAGAAGTTGATGTAAAATGGAAGGCAAAGTTTCGGAGAACTCTAGGATGATCTTGCACGTTCACGGTTTTGTACAGAAAATATGTATCGATGTACAGAGGATTTGTATGTAACGGAATGACTTCGTAGCATTTTTGTATATGTCTTTCTTCTGAATATACCTTGATAAAGTAGTTGGAAAAGTTTTGATTGCAAATGCAAACGAGATGCTGACAAAAAAGCTGCTTTTTGCGAGTTTTTTCCGCCCTGTTCGAAACTTGGCCAATCAGTTTACGTGTTGACCAATCAGAGCGCCGCTATATCGAATGGTACAAGAGTGTCGTTCCTCCTTGCAAAGTCTTGCCACTTTGTCATTGACTTTTATTGAAAAGCTTGCGTCATGTGCCGACACAGTAAAACTGTTTGATTAAGGTTACGGTAAGGATACTGTCGATAGGAGTTGTTAAGTATATAAATCATGAATGAGGAGCAAGCACTGAAAGAAGCTCGACTATCTTGACTACTTCATTCGTATGGAGTCCACTGCACCCTAAAAGCATATCGGTTTCTTGTTTAAATTTTGGATTTAGAAAAGAGACTTACGCGGGAAGGAAAACTTTGTGACCGTGGCCTTTTGCAGTGATATGGTATATCAGTGGATGCGAAAGCTGGTTCCAAATTTATGTTCATTACCTGCTGTGGACTCTCTGACAGAAGTTACACCTTTCCCATATTACTTTCATGAGATCCAAGCGGCCGGAGTCAGTATCCAGTGGATATATCGGAGACATTTCTGAGCTTGACGTAAAGCTTTACTTTACTTGGACCCCTTTTGTAATGCGTAAGTGACCATTTTAACGATATTGGTGATTCCTGTTATCAAAACAGTGCAGATTTTGGTGGGGATTCAATGGTGTCAAGGCTCGGCACAAGCTGGCACCAGGGAAATTTCAAAACGGAGTCCTCTTTGACCCTAAAGCCTAAACGTAAAAAAACCCCAAAAAACGAAACGTCGACTTATCCCCTTCGCTTTTTGTCCCAAAAACGATATCCAGCTTGACCCGGTGCCAGCTGTGCCGAGCCCTGAGTGATATACGTTTCATTTCAAAAGGCCAGGGCCACCAAGTATCCTTTCCTTGTTAGCAAGTCTGTGAGAGTAAATCCTCCTCACCAGTTCAGCGTTACCTCACCTTATGAAATTAGGATTGGAGAAGTGTCATTTACTACTCTTAGCTACTCGGCTTCAAAGAGATGTGCCAGAAATGGTCAAATAAGCAACACACTACCATATCTTCTGACTAAGCCAACCTTGTGTAGGAATTCGCATATCGAAAGAACGGCCTTCCACTACTTTTGAATCCCGTATACCCCATTGTATCCAAAACTATTGGCTGAAGCCAACTAAGCGGTGCCACGTAATTTGCACCGATCACTTCGTGATGAATTCTGAACAACTACCTCAAAGATGGCGACAGATCCCTCATTTTGGACGAACCGCAGTGTATCAAGAAATTTCAGATCCCGAAGACATTCGAACACGAGGAGGGGGGGGGTGCGTTCGCTGACCAAAAATCACCGGCATAAACAGCGCCGCCCCTCAATATGCTACAAAACATCGAGCCAGTAGAACCCAGGGTAAGGGTCGATTTATTTATTCCCGCTTTCCCGTTCTCTATTCGTACTCAACGATTTCTCTTCATGACTATAAGTAATATTACACTTTTATAGATTTCACCACAAGAAGCAAACTCTTCACAAATGGCAAAATTGGAAGGTGTAAGTTTTTCTTCCTAGCCTGTTCGAGCAAGCTTCCAAATTTTCACCTTAGGAAGGCCTTACCACTGTCGGACACAAGTTCGGAGAAATGGTTGGAGGTGAAGCAGATAGGGATCCCGTGCCTCAGGTGGGTCTCTTTCTGAGTCTGAGTTTTACCTATTGTCAGCACGTTTTTCAATTCCCATTGTGGCGAAATGTTAAAAAAAATAAGTACTTTCAGCCTCCCACTCTATTTGATACTGAGTACAAAACCAAAGGACAAAATGAGGTAAGTGCCTAAGCTGTAGACACCCTCTAAGTTTGAGATGATTTTCTGCTTAGGGCGGCAATACCGGAAAAGAGGCTTCTGCACAGAATAACACTACACCATCTGAAGGAAAATGCTGTCCTGATCACAATGTGATACATGTAAATGGTATGGATCTTTCCTAATAACCAAAAATATAACTCTACAATCACTTCAATATTTTGTTCCAGAATGACAAAGCGAAAAACCATGGAAGGAAACTGTTGGACTGGAGTGAAATGAGACGATCTTTCATTCGATTTGTAAAGAAAATGTGTTAATGTACAGAGCATTTGCATGTGATTGGATATTCACCTTAGCTTCGAATCCAAGTATTCTACTTACTACTTTTTCTTCTCATACAGTAATGTATCATGTAATAAATGTTTAAGGCAATGTCTTGTTGTCGTCATGCCTTATATACTGAGGTGGAATTTAAGCAATCAGTAAGCAAACTAATTTACCCATTTTTACCCACTTACTTATAAATACTAACTTTGATTGGCTTACTAATCTACTCATAACATGCTAACAATGCCGAGGTTAAGAAGGGAGCAAACTTGGAAATTGCGCATTAGACTTAGAGGTAAAAAAAACTCTGAATTTCAGTGCAGTTGTAAACCGAACGGGCGCAGGGAGAGGGGTTTACCCTTATAACCAGAGATCACCCGACGTAAACAGCCCCGCCTCTCTACGCTAAAAAACCGATCTAGCAGAACTCGTGGCTACACTCACTGGCTTTTCCCACGTCACAAAATCAATGATTTCTTGCTCTCGTTCCTCTATCCTTTCTGATTTTTCCGACACGGAATCGAAGAACATAAAAGTGATCATACTTTTCTAGATTTAACAAAGCACTTCGTTAAAATCTGCAAAATGGCAAAAATGGGAGACGTAAGTCACTCGATATTTCCGAGAAAAGATTCCTATCAAGTAATGTTGCAGGATGGAATCCTTTCCACTATTGGAAGGAAGGCTCAAGAATTGGTTGGAGGTGGAGCAGATAGAGATCCCGCGCAGGGTCAGGTGAGGATCCCAGCAAACTTGACCTCATTTCCTGAAAATCCTAATGTCTAAATTTTGTACAAATACTGAAAGTGTTGATGGTGTAAGCCACTGTATTTCCAGGCTCCGCCTTCATTCGAGACTGAGTACAGAACCAATGAGGTAAGCCACTTGATTGATTTTAAAGTCAGCACAAAATTGGTTCTTTAGGGCAAACAAACTGGAAAAGAAGCCTGCGTTGCTGCACAGAATAATCCTACTCCATTTGAGGGAAAATGTTGCCCTGAACACGGTGTACGACACTGATCATTTAGTTTTATTTAATGATCTGTTTTTTCCTTAAATCATGCAGTTTCAGAATGAGGATGCGAAAGATATTGGGAAGAAGATGATGTGAAGTAAAAATTTAAATTTCGAAAGGCTGTAGGATGATTTTGCATGCTCTTTTGTACAGCGAATATGTATCAATGTACATACAGAGAAAGGGAATGTATTCTATTGAAGTGATTTGTAGCATTTTATGCGTATCCTTCATATTCATATTATGGATCTTGATAAATTATAAGTAAAATGATTTGATATGCAAATGCACACGGTAAACGAAGAACTGTCCACGCAGAATTTTGCTCAACTATCACCTATAAGTTTGCATTCTTGTCACTTTGCCACTATTTTTTTCAAAGCTCTACTCTTCGAGCATCGATATCGAATACTGTTTGGTTGAGCTGCGAAAAATACTTGATAAGGAGCAAGCGCTAAAGCAATCTCAACTGTTCAATGGGATACGATCTCTCTGAATTCCATAGGGTGGAGGACATTAGGTCGCCGAATTTGGAAGAGTCCCGCGCGGATTCCCTGCAGGAACGCATGTCCGCGCATGTACAAGGGTGCGTATTTATCGCAAATGACCGCGGGGACCGCCCTTTTTCGGCGACCTAAAGTCCTCCACCCAATTCCATATAATTCAAGACCAGTAGAAATGGTCAAGGGACACATGCAGCACACTCCGAGAACATATCGCTTCATTGATGCTATTGATTTTTCCCTTTTCCTCAATAAGCGCTAACTCAGCAAATGTTTATTCACCTGCTGGTTACGTAGTTATAATGGTGAATCCATTCCCCTAACATTCACCGCTATCCATCGCCTGAAAACAGTGATTGAAAAAATGTCACTCTAGCACATTCAACAACTTCCTATGTTCTTTAGGATGGATATCTTGGAAACCTTCCAAAACCAATAACAACTTTGACTATACGTAACCAGTTTATTTGTGCCAAAACGACCGTGACCGCGACCGTGCGATATCAGGACGTTGAGTGGGCATTCAAACTTTAGTGCTTCTGTGCCATGCGTCAGAGGCAGCGTTGCGGTTGGCCTACGGTGGCGAAGCCTAAAAGCATATTACAGGATGGGGTACACATCCGGCACAAGATTTACGTTTGAATTGTTCTTCCTGAGTTTTTTTTAAAAGGGGAGGTTTCCGTGAGAATGAGAATGCAACGGTAAAAAAAGTTCTCAAACTAGGTATCTCTTCTTTCAGATCGAAAGAAAGGATGTTGTCGAAAGTCGTTTTATAATTTTGGAAGAGGAGATAAATCAGAATTGGAAATGGGAGTTATTTTTGAGCTTTTTGTCATAACTCCGGAGGTGGTTATGCTAAAAGTTGCTGATGGCCACATTTTACTGGTTTTCCTAACAGTGTCGACTTTGCTCGAATGGACTTGCTGGCAAGCAATCGAACAGGCGTAGAGGGGGGGGGGATTCCTTAGTAACCAGAGATCGCCCGACGTAAACAGCGCCGCCTCCTCTGTTTGCTACAAAAGCATGCAAGCTGACGCGAGTGAGCCGAGCGCGGATCGATTCTTTTATCAGTATTTCTCTAATTTCTATATACACGGTTGTCTTATAAGTTTTTTCATATGACTTTTGACCGCAATAAGTCTTATACTTCTCAATTCTAACTAGGAACAGATTGCCATTCGGTAGGGCAAAGCAAGCTCTGTAAGATGGCTTGTAAGCGTACGCACCAGCTTTAGTAACCTCGAGCTAGAAGCCAAAATCTGGGAAGTTCTGCATGCTCAAAAAATTGAAAAAAAATCATATCTTTGTTCAGAAGAAACTTACCGAATTTCTCACTTGCTCACGCATGTACACTCCACATCAGACATTCATATGAGCCATTACTGTATTTTTTCCTACGCTAAAAATTGAGAAAGCAAAGACTTTCATGCTTTTGAAAAAGATGCAGTGCTGTTTTGTACAAGCGCTAATTCCCAGAAAAATTGATGTACGTTAAAGAGCTAAAAAGAGCTAGACTCAAACAAGAAAGGCTAAACTTGGTATTTCTCGAAAACTAGCATTTGTGGGAAGCTGAAATTCTACGGCTGTACTCCAAAGACTTGTAGTATACGTTTACCTGTTTGGGAACAGCATAGTTTTGCTTCAAAAGCATTAAGAATTTTCGTTTTCTCACTTTTTAGATCAGGAAAAAATACAACAACGGTATATGAATGTCTGATGTGGTGTATATCCGTGAACTAGTGGGAACCAACCCGTCAAGTTTCTTTTGAACGAAGATACAATTTTTTTCAATTTTTTGGGCATCTTTAGAACTTCTTAGATTCCGACTTCTATCTCATGGTACTGAAGCTGATGCGTACGCGTATAGGACATTTTATAGAGCTTGCTTTGCTCTACCGAATAGCAACCTGATTCACAATTAAAAGTCCAAATTGAAACAAAACTTGTGAGACAATCTAATATTTACCGTTTCTCACATTGCTTTTGTACAGATACCGCTAAGTCTTTGTGGTACCTATGTCCATAAGCTTTTTGACCTTTTCAGATTTCAAAACCAGAATGAATAGCAAAATGGCTGACACTACTGGCGACGTAAGTTCATATAATTTGAAAATGCTATGCTACTTTCTCTGCAAGGGGTGATTTCGTTTAAAATGGTCTCTGAAAGTGCGATCCTTCAAAATGCGATTTCAGCAAGGATTCCTTTCCAATATTGGGAATAAACTTCAAGATATGGCTGGAGCTGCTGCCGAAAAGCTTTCTACAACGACGAACGGTGGAAGGGACCTTATGCAGCCCTCAATGAATGACGTGAGTACATTTTAAAAACGTTGAATTCAAAGTTTCAAAAAACTCCGTGTACATCTCCCAAGTCTAATGGAAATGCTTCCTAATTCCTCATCAATTTCAGACCCAGCCAATCCAGCAGTCCGATCAATCATTCCATAGCGAATACAAAACCAATGATGTAAGCGATTATTTCATTTTGGACTGTCAAGTGATGGCCGTTAAAGACAAATCTGTTTAGGGTCAGAAAACTGGAAAAGCAGCTTGTGTCGCTGCACAGAATAACCCTACTCCAGGAAAATGTTGCCCAGAACACAATGTGAGCGAAGTTCTCCAATTATTTATATTTCCTTGTACTGAAGTTTATAATAAATTTATATGCAGTCGCCGTTTTCGTATTAGATTTTGCGGCCACCTAAACTTTACATTTTAGCAAGATGAAGCGAAGGACTATGGTAAACGAGTCTTTATGTGAAATGCGTCAGCAAATGCGTAAGACGTTGGGATGATCGCAAGCTCGCGATTTATGTATATCGTGTGTTTATCAGTGTACATATATTCTATATAATTTGACTTAAAGTCAGGTTCGTAGAACCGTCGCTTTACTCCTTGATTAGAATGTGGAAATAAATCGAAGGAGTTTTTACTTGTCTTTCTAGAGCTGTCATTATGTGATATCCGAAGGCCTGAAATGGCTAATCTAATTCCAACTCAGTCGATTAAGCCCATCAGTTCACCCCATCTGACTTTCCAGCTGAGTAAGGTGAAAACTTGATCAATTCGAATTGTGAATTACTGTATGTAGATTGGCTAGACTAGCATTGAGAAAATAAAGTAAAATTTCTGAGAATTTTTTTTGGTGACGTACAGCCGAGGACCATATAGAGTTAATGATACGAGAGGAGAAGAAAATGAGTTTCTTTGTGAGAGGGTGGATGGGAAAGCTTGAGGTTTCTCCAAGCCCGACCCACCTGTATTTTTACGAGAGCAAATCAGTACATCGCAATTGTGGTAAAGGAATCGTTAAATGCTCTGTAGCTCGTAATAACAAACACTAACTTTCTGTGATAACAGCTGGAAGCATCACAAGCGAAGAAATAAGGAAACAAATACTACACAAGCACCATCCTCTTTTCGGATTCCCTTACCTACGTTGACTTGGGTCCATCAACAAAGACGAAAGTTTATATCCGAGGATCAGCGAATCTAATTTGAGAATGATTGAGCTGTTGCATGATAAATTTCGCTTGTAATCCGAAGGTAGAGCGTATCGTTCAATTTTCTCAAAAATTTTCTGCACGAACCATAGAGAACAGGTATGGGTTCACCATAAGCATTTCGTAGTGACCTTTAACAAATTGTTACTTCTTCCTTACTATGCTTTTGCTCGGAAATAATTTTAACTGAAAAAGAAGTCATGTAGTTTCTTCGGCATCTTAATTGCCTTTTTACCAAAATGGCTGCGGAGATAAAAGCGAGAAAAGGTAATTAGTCCATTTTGTTATAACCAAGCGTGTTAAAAATCTAAAAACATTACAGTGAATGACCGCAAATTGACTAATTTCACCTCTTCTCACTACAAATATGTTCATTGAGCAATCAAGACGCCACTAAGACTACACGATTTCTTTTTCAAAAATTATTGCTCTACAAAACCTATAATTTTTCGAAAAATGGTGCGAATAAGCTTTCGATATAAAATACTGCATCCTACTTATCTTAGAAATTCAATGTGGTTTCCATACATGACTCACTTCATCTCACTTGTATGACTTCTTGTGGAAATAAGAGAACAAGATAATCTTGCCCTAATAATTCCGATAATTCTAAGAAGGAAAGGATACTTGGTCGAAGTGGCGTTTCATTGTGAAATGTATACTGTTTTATAGAGCTTCGGACGCTGATTCCGAATCTGCTTTTCACATCTGCAAAGCGCTTCTGGGAGGGAAGTTATGGGAATTTCTTAGAGCAAAAATTCGAACGCGCGGCTACCATAAAATCATTCAAAGTGCTGTCTATGAGCTCGAATGGGGCTATGATCACTAACAGGGCGTTTTATGCAAAACTACCTTCAATCTGATAAGCTCTTGTCAGTTATTACTCCTTTCAAGCGCCGGAAAGATTTCAACACACACCTGTTTTTACCTTAGCCCAATCATTGAATTTTTACCAAAAAATTCCCAGAACTCCCCTTTCAGAAGCGCTTTGCAGATATGGAAAGCAGATTTGGAATCAGCGTTCCATGCTCTATAAGGCATTATACATTTCATATGGAAACCCCACTTCGACCAAGTATCCTTCCCTTGTAAGAGAGAAAATTTAGGGCTTCCTTAAGAGAAATCTCGCTGCTAATGGATCCGAGATTCGCAATCAGCATACTTCTTCTTCTTTTTCGCATGTATAGTTCATCGTCCTATAGTTAGGTTATACCACTGCATAGTGGAGCGCCTCATAACTCGTTTTAAAGCGTAAAAGGTTCTTTAAATCTCAACGGACTCCTTGATATGCATCACAAGCGAAAGGTCGTCACCCGAAGTATATTCGACTCCCGCACGCAGAGACAGGGCGCCGTTGCGAACGCTGTCGGCGTTTTTCACACTAAGCACACTCTCATTCCTTCAATCAGTCTCTTTCGAACACGGGATATTTGATCGGACGCAACTGCACCCAGTCTGTGCGCGCGATGACCTACCTATATCATACTACTTTGTCAGTCATTCAAAGTCGCAAAACAGTTTTCTTGCTAAGAACATAGAAGCTCCTAATGTCGGTTGTCCTGCAGAAAATCGGTGCGAATAAAAGATGTGATTAAATTAACGATGTACCTTCAACTTTAGAAGAAAATCATCTTCAAGTCACTTTCGCTGTGTTCTTTCTTACATACATTATATTATTCAATATTACATCACTACGCGAATGTACACATATAAGGTCTGAGCGTTTGCGTTGTTATTGTCGTACGCTAACGTCATTTACAGCGCAAGATCTCAGAACTGACATCAATCACGTCTCAACATGCGATCATTTCTAAAAATACTATCAGCTGGCTAATAAAACTTTTCTGACGTGTGACTACTATTTGGTATCATTTTCATTTGCTACTGAAGTGATTACATAGGTAGCTGACAATCACTAAGCTCTGCAGATTCGTTTTCCATACAGAATACAAGCCACATGTAGCCAGAATACATGCCTGCATACCGTAGCTGGAAAGGTTTATTAGGAAGCCATTCTTCAGTTGATAAGGAAAATGTGACAGATATCCCAAAAAGCGTGTTTTCTTTTGAATACGCATTATACGAGACATCCCAAAAATGTATTAATCTACATAAACTCCCTTTACGAAGAGTTTGCCGGCCATTCAAATAGCAAATTGCATTGATAGTGTGGATCGAATAACCGATGGATCTCGTTACTCTAAGATTACGGTAGCATTCTTGAGAGAGTTTTTAGCTGGAGAGCGCCCTCTTTTGCCCTAGAAAGCGAAAGCAATCTGAAAAGTTTCACACTAAGCTGATGCTCCTTTCGTAATTATGCTCACAGTAACAACTGTCTTCTCGAAGTTTCTCAAAAATGCGACTACGACATTTGAACAGCTCTGAATACGTGTAAAAAGCTAAGCAGTAACACCAGCATGCAGAACCGTGATGCGCAACTTTCCAGTTTTTTTGATAATTTTTGTGAAACGGCGGCTATCCAGGTGGCATTGTATTCTCGAAGAATTGTTAGAGTAATAGAGAGGAATCGGTGATTCGCTTTACACTGTAAATTTGAGTTAGAGCCAAGTTTACAGTTTGGTGTTTGAATAGCCGCGAAATTTCCTCGCACAAGAGGTTATTATAAATCAAATATGCTATAAATGTTTGAGAGTATTAAAACAACCTTTCAGCGTCAAATAAACTTTCATGGATATTGCCAGATATCTTGTCAGCCACATTGTGCTCTGATGGGGACACACGAAGAGGCATCCTAGTAGGCACGTAAATTGAGTAGTTGACGAACTACGAAGTACGAAAAAGTTATTGCCGTCAGTTTGCGGTAGTGCAAACTAGGAAATAAATTGGAAGCGATTATAAAATGAGACCATAGTCACAGAAAAAATACTCCAGTGTGAGCTCGCGATAGTATAACTGTCTGTTAGTTCTGTAAACCTTAGATCAAATCTCACTAAATTCATATCTAGATATTCTTCAAACTTTTTCATACTGCTTGATTCAAAAACCTTGCATTTATGAACTCGAAGGCTCTGAAGTAAGAGATCAAAACAGATCCCAATTGTAAATACTCAAAAACCCTCCACCGAAGGACATTAATCATTGTTGAAGTTTGAATATGATCCTTCCTGCGCTTTTTCTTATAAAATTGTAACGTTAGTTTCTATAATATATTCAAAAATGTGAAAAATTGGTCTGAAATATGCTGCAAAAAAACTGCGGTCTGTATTATATGTTTGCGTAATAAATGTTCCAGTTTATTGAACATGTTAGAGATTTCAATTAGATCAAGTTGAAAGTTTCGAATAAAGTCGAAAATCGTTTTTTTAGCAACTAATAGCCAATTTCTAGGTAGAAAGAGCAGGTGATAGAAGCAAAAACAAAATCAACATGGATTTCTAGACACTACATCAATTTTTAGCCACCGGAGTACAAAAAATGACTTCTTGTCTGATCAGCCCGTACCGTTGCGATGTATTAACATGGGATTTTGTCGGAAAATTAGTAGAAAGCGCAAGGTTATCTATCTCTAATACGAGTTAGATCGGCATTTACATAAGCGAAGAGCCATTGCTAATTTTAAAAATTTTATTGCAAGATTTATGCAACAATCCAAAATTTTTATCTTGAGCATTTCGACCGAAAAATAATGCCCAAGGACTTCAAATTTGTCGCAGGTAGGTTTGAATACTCCCTTAAGATCTAGGAACTTACAAGAAAAAAGAAGATCCTGAATTTCTTTCCATTTGTCACTATCCCTCCCCCGCTCCCCAAGTCTGCGACCCCTATAGCTTTTCGAGCAAAGACGACGATGACCATATTGGTCGATAATGCCAAACGGGAGCTGCACGTGGTTCTCGACTCTATACGGGAGTGGCCATGGGAGCGCGGGGACATTTCCAGAAGGCCGAACATGGTTGAGCTACTGGTCTCTGATCAGTAAGCAGCGAGAAGATCAGTGACCACGGCTGCAGGCGAAACACTGCTCGGTAATGAATTCACACGAAAGAGAGTATTAGAGCGATTACGTATCAGTGAGTAGTCACGAAAAAGTGTGAAAAGGAATGCGGCGGTTTGGGAAAACACATTGCGGGAAGACGACGAATGAAGAGAATACTTGTTTAAGTGTTTTGAACCCTAACGTGAAAAGATTACTTGGAAGTCAGCCCTTAGGTTCGAGAAAATTTGAAAGACGAGTAAATCTAATTATTGTCCCAGAAGAAGTAATACCATTCGGCAAATAATTTGTTTTGTCCCAACTTCTTCTCCCTAATTAGTATGCAAACCAACATAAGGCTAACCAAACCGCATAGCATTCCCTATAGC